TCTAAGTTAGAACTAATAAACACTTCAAAAATTATCTAACAAGTATTCTGTTGGCTCTATTCCTAATTTTTTTTCCTCTGGAAATCCATTCCTTCTCCCACACCGTTCAAAGGGAGTTCATCCTAAATTGCATAGCTAAAAGTCTGCAGAGATTCTCAGTCATCCAGGTCATGGTTGTCCCAAAGGTGCTTTTTCAGGAGGCAACTGAACTTGTTTGTTTTTTTTTTCTTTTAAAGACATTTCTCTTCTCATCCCAGAAGCTTCTTCAACTCTGACTGGATGGTGGGAGAATGGAAGGATTTATATTCCTTGCAGACAGCTGATCATTTGCATCCTTTTAGAGGGTCTGCAATTTGGGTCTCTAAAAGGATGCAAAGGACCAGCTGTCTGCAAGGAGTATCAATCCTTCCATCCTCCACCATCCAATCAGAACTGAAGAAGCTTCTTGGAGGAGAAGCGAAACTTCTTCAAAGAAAAACCAGAAACTCCAGTTGCCTCCTGAAAAAAAACACCCTTGGGACAACCACGACTTGGATGACGGAGAATCTCTGCAGACCTATTCCTAAAAGTTAACCCATAGGCATCCTAGAAGAAAGTCTGTTCTTAAATTCAAATTAATATATATATTTTAATTGTTCTTAATGTTTGTATTCTATGTTTTTATCTGGCTGTACACCGCCCTGAGTCCCTTGGGAGAAGGTGCGGTATATAAATTTGAAATAAAATAAAATAAAAATAAAAATGGTTATCCCAAAGGTTTTTTTTTTTTTTTTTTTTTCAGGAGGCAACTGGATTTTCTGGGTTTTTCTTTTTCTTTTGAAGATCCTCGAAGACTTTTAGCAAGCTTTCTCTTGGCTCTGTCTTAGCCCTATTCCTTATCTTAGCAATATGTCTTGTATGATATGCCTGACAGTCAACTCCTGTTTTCTACATTGAAAGTGGTCCCACCTGTCCACATTCCCTTTATCTTTGTTACGCAGGCCTTGAAATACACACCTCCTCCCTCCTTACCTTGCATTTTTTTTTTGAACAATTTTTTTAAATTTTTTAAAAAACACATAAACATAACAAAAATCTTTTCAGAACGAGCCATTGATCCGGTCATAAGTAGGTACAATTACTAATTCCTCTTTAACAAAAGCTTTTCCCAAATCCCCACTAATTGCCTTCTTTAAAAAAAAAAAAAGCAAAAAGAAGAAGAAGAAATTATCTAATTTATATCATTTTACACAAATCAATTACCTTCTATTATTTCACCACAAATCTTAGTTTTCAAATAACACAACTTAAGGTTCTCTAACGTTGTGGCCATAAATTCTGTCTGATAAAAGAAAAAAATCCTTAAAACGCATTACACTGATCTTAAACTCCTTAATTCAATATCATTTCAATTTATTTTCCTTTTAATATGGATGGATATTATCTTAAAAGTATAAATCATCAAAGTATTTACGCGGTATTTTAACTGTTAGCATTTGTCACCTTCATTTTACTATTTATCTCAGTTTAACCCTTTTAATCACAACATAATCATTTCATTGTTAGTATTAATTCCAGTATGGTCCTTGCATTTTTTTTTTTTACAACAAATGACCCACCAACAGGTCAAGAAACCATGAATGATGGAAACTAGTCAAGGAGAGGAACAACCTAGAATAAGCGTCCTCAATCTACGGCCCATGGGCTGAATATGGCCTGCCGAAGCCATTAATCTAGCCCGTCCGGGACCACGAGGCTGCCCCGCCCACATCGCCCCGCCTACCCACCGGCCCCCACCTGCCTTCTGGAGGCCGAGGAGGCCAAAAACGGGACGCGTGGAGGCCCCAGGAGACCAAAAACAAGCCCGTTTTTGGCCTCTCCAGCCCCCAGAGAGGGAGAGGGAGAGGGAGAGGGAGGGAGGGAGACACAAATGCACACACACACACACACACACACACAAACAGAAGTCCCTCATCTGTCCCGTCCCGTCCCCCCGGTGAAGGCAGCCACATCCCTTCATTAACCTGCTTTCCACCCCCAGGAGCATAACCAATTAAAGTTTAATTTGTATGTATTGTTTAATGGTAAAAAAAGAAGCAGACATACTGCGAACTCAGGAACTTAAGATTTTAAAATTTTAAAAGAATTAAAATTTTATTTTACTAAGTTTTAATTGTTTAATGGACTAATAAATTGACCACGCCCACCCAGTCACATGACCACCTAGCCACGCCCACCCAGTCACATGACCACCTAGCCACGTCCACCGAGCCGGTCCGGCCCCCCAACCGTCTGAGGGACCGTGAATTGGCCCCCTGTTTAAAAAGTTTGAGGACCCCTGACGTAGAACTAAGGAGAAATTTCCTGATCATTGGAACAACTTGCCTCCAGAAGTTGTGAGTGCTCCCATCACGGGAGGTTTTTAAGAAGAGACAAAATCAACTTAGTCTGGTTGAGTCCTGCCTGTGTCTTAGCTGGGCTGGATAATAAAATAAATAAGCAAAAAGTTGACGAAGTGTAA